CGTCGTCAAATTCATATATGGGTTGGGACCTGACCAGCCTCCTACTAGTGCCATAATGAAGGAGAATTTTCAGCACCAAATCTTGTATCAGATGAGTCCTCTAGAGGTAAGCAGCACTAGTACTACATAGTTTATATATTCTTCTTCTAATGCCTCAAAATAGTAAGAATTCTTGGATATTTATCTTCCCCTTGGGGCCTTGATCATTTCTTTTTTTTTTCTACGGTTGGAACTTAATTATATCATAGCCGTATTGGACCCTATGTCCACCAGATTGAATTAGATTATACTAAATTGTATAACCTTGTATTAGACAGTGTTGTGCAGAATTTAAACGAATTCTTTCAAATTCTAAATTCCAAAATGTCAAAATCGACACCGGAAAGAAAGCCAGAGGTGTGTCACACTGGAGACCCTTAAAATGCCAAAATTCAAGCCTGAAATACAGTTTTTGCTGAAGAGCCCTGAGAGACTCTGCACATTATAAAACATTGCAGTGCAATCAATATTCAATATATATTCCAGTCCAGTTAAATACAACATACCAAACCAGCCCCAAGTGCACTATTAACTGCAGCAGGAAGATACATAAACTGATGAAGTGTCAACCTCACCAAACCACCAAGACCACAACAGGCCATCTCAAATTTACCACAGAATTGACTTCTCTTCTATTACAGAGCGGTTTAGTTTAAGACGCAATGTGTTGGAACAAAATACCAAATTTATTATAATCCTCTTTGGTATTGAATGTTTCAGGACTCAACTTTAGCTTCAATGCTGCTGAGGCCAGGACCTATGCTGGCATTGCAGGGTGCTCGATTCGAACGAACTGCGGATGCCGCTGATTGTGTGCCAAGAGTGTACATCAAGACCATGCAGGACCATGTTATAAAGCCTGAGCAACAAGATGCCATGATCAAGAGATGGCCACCATCCCAAGTCTTTGTTCTGGATAGTGATCATAGCCCATTTTTCTCCACACCCACTGTGCTCTTTGGATTGTTGGTTAAAGCATTGGCTTCCATCAAATGTTCTTAAAATTTGGAGTTTTTAAGTGCATGCTTGTTTCTCTCTCTTAATGCTCTGTAACACTCACACAAAATGCCAATAAGTTTTCATAGTAATTGTACTCATTTGGAGGATTTCACGGCTTTAAAGAACCAATCCAATAAACTTCCAAGCAGAATGAGAATTTAGAGGAGAAGAATATTATCCGTCCTTAGATGGGCCACCTATGGACAGCAGGACTAAACACAATAAGATGACCAGAAAAGAACAGAAGGGAAAATTCCATAAGCTATGAAACTCTTGTTTTTATCAGCTATGGTTGTCTCATTTTGTCTGCTGAAAATGGACTTTGTTTTATTATCCTAGGTTAAATCAATGTTGCTACATATATACTAGGCATATACTGAAACAGACATGATAGATTCATATGTTTTTGGCTCTTAGTCTTTTTTTTCTCTTCAATTATAATGAAGAATTCAACCCCTTGTAAAGGTTATAAATGTTTCGATAGCGCAGAAATTTTCTCTTAGACTTAATCCCAGATAAGTTTTTAGAAGAAGAAGAAGAAACAGCAGCAGCACGCAGTTTCTCTTGAAGGGATGGAAAATTACAAGACCTTTGTTGGTGGAAGGATTGGGTTGATTTGTTTCACTTTGGGGCTGTTCCTTGTGTTTCAAAATGCTCATGCTTTCAGTATGTATTCTTCTTCTATCTCATCGTTCTTCTTATATACGATATGAAAAAAATAAAAGAAAAAGGCAAGATTAATTATTTGTACTTTGGTTTGATTTTCAGATAAAACAGCGCCCACACACAATGTAAATCTAAGCCCATTCGAGGGTTGGATGAGTGCTTTCTATTGCATGAACAAAACAGTAAGAGTACATAAATTTACATGAAGACTAACGTTCTCTTCTCAAGGGAATTTTGACATATTATGTTATTAAATTGTTAATACTATATTTTATAAGCAAAAATGCATTCGACCAATAATTCAAATTAACAGTCTAATATGTTATGTTCATCAACTGATCAATCGGCATGACATGTTACCTCCGGCAAGAAAAATAGCTGGTAAACATACATAGATAGGTGTTATGGTACATAATATGAATTTTGGTTAATAACTAAGAAGGAATTGTAAGTGTGTTGGTGGGTGTTATAATTTTAGGTACCTGTTCCTTGCTCGCCGAAGGGGCAGCTGACATTCAGTGGAATAGTGGACGTGGCCCCAAGTGAGAAGGGAGACTATTGCAGTGATAAAACAGGGTGCTCAAAACACGCCTTGGGTGTGCTTGAATGCATCTACTTGGTCAAAAGAGACTTCTGGTTTCATAACAATGCCACTGTAGATGTCCTCAATCGAACCATCATTGACGGATGTGCCGATAAAAATAATAATTCAGGTACTCTTTTCTACTTATAAGCAAAGAATTGTTCTCTTGTTATACCGCAAGTCCATCTTAAATATTTGTCCGACTGCGAAACTTTGATGAATGGCTTTGATTTTTTCGATAACATTAATTGGAAGTCTTGGAAAATGCAGGTATTTCAACAGCGAATTACACGAGCAGTGGGATGAAGGTGTACCAGAAGATGTACATACCATATGTTGCATCACTGTCAAGCTTGGCCTTCATAGCCGTGTCCAACATCATGTGAAAAGCTTTCCACCGGCTGTGCGACAGTTTGGAAAATTCTAGTCGAGTGTACTCTACAAAACCCTACAACATATTATGCAAATAGAAGCAGGCAGAGCCATCTACACTATTGAAATCAATAAGGATCAACACTTCCATTACTATTATTATTGCATATGTCTTACTCTTTTTATTTTTTGTTTCTACTTATTTTAGTCCTTATAATATATTTTGTAATCGTGTTAGTGATGTTGTAAGGAATGTTTTGGCACCCGCAAATTGTTTCAAATTTCACAAATTTCCATCAAATCTAAAATTTCAGTGTCTATGCCGGGAAAATGGAAACCTCCACCGATATATTGTAACCTCTGTCTACACGCATAATTGTTCTTTACTGGGTTTTGTTTTTGTTTATTTTTTATTCAAGGAGAAGAGGAATTCGAACACATGACCTCGGATGAAAACCAATTTCTTGTTTTTGCCAATCAACACCAAGCATGCCCTTAGCTCTGAGTAGCAGTCATCATTCAATCCAACTCCTCATTGACTTTTACGTCAAATGTAAACTAACCTACCTAAACTAACACAGTGCTTAAAAGATTGCGACACACGACCCATCCAAAGGATCCAATCCAATCCATTCTAGCAGGTCTGATCCAATCCAATCCCACCCCAGGGGTGACGGTTTAACTTGCAAGAGAAACATGCAGAGGAACGCACATTCAAACGTCTGAGAGTTATCACTAGACAGAAAATAATTGAGCAGCAGTACCAAAGGCCGAAGTATAGGAAGGTCTGTAATCACTAAGCAGAGGTAACTGTGAAACAACAATACAAGAGAAAATCTTCCTCAATATCCAAACGTCACAGCAAAAATATTACTGTTGTAGATGCCAAACACGCAACTCAAAAATCCATTAACTACTACATGTAAACCATGAGTTCACAAAATTATGCTAAGATCATGTCCCAGCGTTCCTTCGTCCAACGCGAGCCACAAAACCAGCTTTAATTGGAGCAACTGTTCGTCCAGAACCACACTGCAACATAAAGATTTATCAAATAAATTAGCCGGGAAGCTGAAAGTAAGACAAAATACACTCAATTTTAAAGAATTTTAAAACCAGAAACACAGAACCATACAAGATTGGTAGCATATTGCATTGATTAACCTAGAAACTATGAGCATATGAGGAAAAAAAAACAAGAAAAGTATTCCTTCACCCTATACCCTAGGGTTTTGTCCCAATACCCACCCACCACCCCTTCAAAAGAACAAAAAGAGCAAAATTTTAAACGAGGCCTCAGAAATAATATAGGTTACTCCATCATGAGCAAGAATCGGACAATGTAGGCAAATCTTCAGATCATCATAGGCCTCTTGAACAAGATGTTAGGTAGCAGCATAAAAATGCTAAAACCGTTCTTTATTTGCTTAACTACTTCCTATAAATCAATCCCACTGATCCTAAGCCTGATGTATGAGGGTCTACTATGGATCCAGGGGGTTGCCAATCTATGGGATAGAATTCAATCAATGCCCAGAGTGCCACAACTATTAAAATTAGCAAACCAATAGACAACTGAAATATTAGAGAATGCTAACTGTTACCTTTTCGCATCTGAGAAAGAAGAGACGATTCTCCTTTGAAAGTATAGTGTCTGGACTTTTGCACCCAAGGCAGATGACATATTCATCTTGGAAAAAAAAAAGTTACATAAGAAAAAATGAAACAATAGTAACAAGTGTGAAACACAACATAACACATAGAAAATGACAGATATAACTGCCAAGCAGGCCTAATCAACAATGCATCTTGCGGAACACTCAATCGAACCATGTCAGATTAACGACTGTAATAAAAATTAATAAATCAAACCACAGAACTAGGTACTTACTGACATATCGCCGCAGTATTCCTTCAAAATTCTTCGGTGCAAATCTTCCCTTGACGACCAACCTCTGTTGTCCATCAAGGGATCCACTTGTCCCCAATTCAGCCAGCAAGAAAGCCATGACGTGATCTGGCTGCCTATGCATCCTGTAAACACCATCCGTAAACACCAAAAAAAATGTATTTTTTCTTTGTCAAATAAGACATTTCCACAGAAATAGTATGACAAACAAACATGACCACCAAGGTAAACTGAGAAACCAACAGAGGGAGATTCTAATGGACAAAGTAATTTAAATAAAAGGAAGGAAACATTTAATGCAGATGAGATAAAAAAAAATGATGGTTTCGGTTTATCAGACAAGGGAGCTGAAACATACGTCTTGCACAGATCCATGAAATTCACAAAAACAGTTTTCTTTGTGCCCTCACGAAGTACTTGTGGAGGCCTCATAACTGTCCTACGCCTGTCTCCAGCCAGCTCCGGGTTATTCTCACGTAGAATGTTAAACACCCTATCAAGAAGCTGCAGACATTGCATTGAAAAAATAAATAAAACATATATGTACAAGGGTCAAGGAACCATCACTGAACTGTAAAAGATCTGTAATGGAGATGAAATAATTTACACACCTCCTCATATGTGTAATCACGATCGCTCCCCTCCCAAGGATAGGATGGAGCCTCAAGAACAATTCCTTCTCCTTCCTCATCCTCGCCAGCGCGCTCTAAAAGGCCAAAAATATAAAATCTTAAACAATTTTTTTAACGACATAAAGGTTGCAGGCATTTTAGAAGGTAAAGAAAAGAAAAAAAAAAGTTAAAACACTCACCATTTAAATCTTCCACTACATTTTCACTGTCTTCATTCAAAATACTGGTTTCAACCTATAATCACATCCACCACTAAAAATCAATATCTAGGAAAAATATTCTGCTTGTAGACATTGGAAAAGCTTGGAAACTTACTGGCTTCTTCTTCTTCTTTTTCAAACCAGAAAATGTACTCTCCTGCCCATCAGAAACTGCAATGACCAAAAAGATAAGTACCACCAAAGGTGATGCATGTATAACATAATTGTAAAAGAAAACAGCACAGAGTAATCAATGGTTGTTCAATTAAACAACCTGCCAGGTTTTCTGTTTTCTCAGCCAGCTTGTCCACAGAATCATCAGTATTATCCTGAATTACAACCTTCTTCTTTTTCTTCTTTTTAGTAGGATCAAAAGGGGCAATCTGCAAAAAAGGATGAAGAACCACAATAATTAGTTCTAGTTAAGAGACTCGAGGTATCACACCTTCACCTCGATATAGCTAACTACACTACCATTCTGAACCACCAAATTCTAGCCAGGGGATCACAACAATTTTTGGAGAATGCAGAAGAATCTGGATAAACTTTTCCCTCAAAAATGAACCAGCACAATTTTTCTCATTGGTTTTTTTTTTTTCTCATTGATTTCTTATACATCTAAAGGGAAACTTCATGGAAGACTGACACACCCAAATAGATAAAGATGCACTGTCCCAGCAGAAACGTTTTATCGGCCATATATTTCTCCTACTTCTTTTATTGCAATAGATAATATGGTTTCCAGACTACAAATAGTTGCAAGCAAAGGAAACTTTTGACAAAATTCACAGGTGAGCCTTTCTTTGAGAGAAAAAGGGGGAATATCTAGTCCAATTTCAATAATGCTATAATCGTATTCAAGCTCCAATAGCCAAATTACGTCTCAAAGCTGAAGTAATTATTAGAATTCTCAAATAAAAAATCCAGCAATTCTCCAAAGAAAACCAGAACCATACCTTATCTATCTTAAATTCCAAAATGAACTTAATGCACTAGAGGTAGGGAATCAAAATTTCAATCATATAAGACCTGAAACTTATCTATCGGATGGGGTGCAATTACAAAAACGTGAAACTTACATCTGGTACCACCTCGTCCTTCACCTCATTCTGGTTGTCATCTGCCATGTTTGCTGCAAAACAAGTGAAACAATATCTATCAAGGACTAAACCCTACATACACCGAAAACCAAACAAGCCCAATAACTCATAATCTCTCTATGTCGAACTATTTCAAGAAAACCAAACCTAGAAATCAGAAAAACCCTAGCACACAACCAAATATAAATAAAGCCCAGAACGATTGCGATGCATAGACACCATTTAAGCAAGCATTGCTTGAATTCCCCCATCCGGACCAAAGCTTTAAAAACACAAACAACACCATAAATAAATATATAAAGAATGAACGAAAAGAGCTCAAGAATCATACAAAGCAAACCAAGATTGGGTAAACAACTGGCGATTTTGGAAACCCTAGCTCTCGCCCTTCGCCTGTAGTGTTTTCGCTTCGCTCTTTTCTCTGTATTTTATTCGTTTTCTTTTTTTTTTGCTAGTTATTTAATTTGTGGGCGAGTTGGGTGGAAATTACACACGTGCAACAAGGCCTAAAAAGAGCTTAATAGCCCATTGGGCCTTGGGTTTCAGTTTTTCTTGTTGCTTGCCCATCACGCACTTGCTAACTAAAAACAGGGATTTTTTTTTTGGAGTTTCACTAAAATACTCAAAATGGGAGCTGAAATTATAAAAAAACCCAACACCCAAAACACTTTATAAACACACTCAAAATCCATCATTACACACACTCAAAACTCATTTATAAACACACCAAAAAATATACAATTGTTGACTTTGTGGTTGATTTTGGGTGTGTTTCTATGTTTAAATAGTGTTTGGGTTTTTTTTATAAATACATGTCTAGAATTGGGTTTATTTATAAATTTGTATTTTTTTTTTCGCAGATGGTGCTTGATATAAAAATTGATTATTATCGTCCTTCAAATTGTAAGTTAAACATCAATGTTGTCTGGCCGTCATTTAAAATCGTCAAATACAACGATGTGATGTGATCGAGTAACAAATGACACAAAAAAACAAGAACACAATCTGATAATTTCGTAAACCTCAAAAAAATTTGTGATATAAAGCAATATTTGGGAGTTCTAGGCACAAGTGGCCATTTGGCAACTTTCGCCCCAAAAAAAAATTAATAAATGGCCTCTCCCATTGTGGATTGTTCTCTTTCCTGACTAGGAATACATACCTCCTGAAGCTTAGTAACAAATTTCTGATACAAATCACTTAGTTTGGGTGTGTACTTATCTCCTTCATGCCTTTGTTCTTCAAATCAAACTCAGCAAGACAAAGATGATTAGAAAGTACTTTGTTGCACCTAGAAGCTTGCAGACACCCTCATTTGCATGTCTAGTCGGGGTTGTCAAATCTAGAGCTCAGCTGGTACATAGTTATATACGAAGATATGTGATAAATTGATACAAAATTTGCTGTAACTATTTATGATGAGCACCTTCATTCAATTTACAAACCCTTTTTATGGCAGGAGCCAAGAAACAAGTTTCTGGTGAGCAAGTTAAAGAAATGAAATGGAAGAAAAACAAAAATTTCAACAAAGTACACCGCAATTGAATCTCAACTCAATTGAATTTGACTCCTCCCATCGCCATGGAATCTTTAAGAAAGAAAAGCTAGAAATGATGGGCCTTGTCGTGAATTTGGCAGCAATTGAATTTGACTCCTCCAATCGCCTGTGTCAATTGTGGGTTCTCTTCTCTTCCACCTTATCAAGCCAAAAGCAACCAAACACACACCTTCAAACAAAACAACAAAACTTGAATTGCAAAACCAGATGCTCCAATCTAAAAACACCACAACTTTTAAATCAATTTGAAAACAAAAATCATCCCACAAATCAGGATCACTTGGACTTAATTGGGTTATCAATCGACGAACCGAGCAACAAAATGTACGGTTATTATTACCTTGGCCAGAGAGTGAGATGCCATGGCAAGCTAGTATAATATTTGAATATATTTTACAGTATAGCCGTGCGGTTATACGTATTAAATATTAGAATATATTTAAACAGGCTATACTATTTAAATTTTCGAATATAGTTAAATGTATAGCCGCGCGGCTATACTTTTGAAATTTTCGAATACATTTAAAACGTATAGCCGAACGGCTATACTATTTAAATATTGAAATATATTCGGCTATACTAATTAAATATTTATTTATATTTAAACAGTATAGCCGCGGGGCTATTTAAATATTAAATATACAAAAATGGGACGCCAGCCAGAGAGAGCCCATGACCTTGAGGCAGGGCGGAGACTCGTCGCCAGGAAAGTTTCTCCGCTTGCACGCAAGTGTTTCCCTCGCATTGGCTCCAAAGTCGATGTGTTGACTAAAGAAGCAGGTTGTTATGTATAATTTTCCAGTACTGAAAACATATATATGGACTTCCTCCAGCACTTTGTCATTAACATATATAAGTTTTCGATGATCAGGTGCTGACAATTTAGTTCTATTGGAGTTGGCACTAAAGATTGCAAGTAAGATAAGAGCCAATGAGAGATTTGCAGTGTATATCGTCATACCCATGTGGCCAGAGGGTGTGCCCTCTTCTGCTGCTGTGCAAGAAATTCTCTTTTGGCAGGTAATTAAATCTCATGAAAAGCCTTTGTCATTTATATACTGGATCATCTTATCACTTATCATTGGCTTGTTTGATTTTTTTCAGGGACAAACAAGCAAAAGAGCTGAAATCCATGAACCTTGAGAATGTTCATCCACATGACTATTTAAATTTCTACTGTCTTGGTAACCGGGAGAAGATACCACCGGTTCTAGGGACACCGAGATAGCCATGGGTGCATATCAACCGCATCACACGTTAGGTGAGAGGAGTTCAAACACGTGACCTCGCGGGTGACTACCAATTTCCAGTTTTAGTCCCCCAACACCCAGCATGCCCATATCTGAGTATGTAGCAGTCATCATGCAATTCAACTTCTCATTGACTTTCACGCTAAATGTAAACTAATCCACAATGCCAAAAAGATTGTGACACACGATCCATCCGAATCCGATCTATCTTATCCAATCCAATTAAATGCAATCCCATCCTAAGGGGTGACAGTCAAACTTGCAAGAGAGAAACATGAATAAGAAAGAACATTCAAACATCATAGAGTTATAACTAAACACCAAATAATTGAGGGCAGTAGCAAAGGGGAAAGGATAGGAAGGTATGTAATCAATAAGTAGATGTAACTGTGAGTCGACAATAGGCCAAGATCATGGGAGCGACTCTTTGCGAAGAGAGACACTGCGCAACAGAAAGAATTATCAAATAAATTAACCAGACAGCTGAAAGCAAGACAAAACAAACTCAATTTTGAAGAATTTAAAAACCAGAAACACATAACATACAAGATCACCATAGCAATATATTCTAAGGAAAGAATGAGAAACACAAAACCCCATGAACAAGAAAAATATTGCTTCGCCTTAATCCAAAGGGTTTTGGCCAACTAATATTAGAGAATGCTAAATTCTAAGACTGTTACCCTCTGGCATCTGAGAAAGTAGAAACGAATCACCCTTTGAAGTATAGTATCTGGACTGTTGCACTGAAAGCAAATGACATATTCATCTGGAAAATAAAAAATGAAAGATTAGTAATAAGTGTGAAACACAACATAGAGCTTGCAGAACCTCAATCTAACGAGGTCAGATTAACACTTGTAATACCGAACGTACGAGGTATTTACTGACATATCGCTCCAGTAGCCCTTCAAAAATATTAAGTGCGAATCTTCCCTTGATGACCAACCTCTGATGGTCGTCAAGTGATCCCCCTCTCCCCAGTTTAGCCAGCAAGAAAGCCATGACATGAGCCGGCTGCCTCTGCATCCTGTAATTTTAAGGTAGAAGGGTTTTAGATCGAATAAGCATTTTATTCTTTTTAACTAAGGACATAGAAACAAATAGTAGCTTCAGAAAATAAATTGAGGAACATGATCATGATGAGCAATCTTTTTAAATTTCTACTATTAGGTTCATCCAAAAACAAATATGAAATTTCCACAGAAATAATATGACAGACGGACGGCTTTACTTGAATAGGATACCAAACGCCCCCTTAAATTTCCCGAAATCTGATGCATCATTATTTATTTATCGAGTCCAGAGGATTAGGATTAAGATTTGGGTAAAGCAAAAGCAAACAGAGCCCATGATAAGATATCAAAAGACTCTAATTCAGAAACAAAAGTAAATGTAACTTTAGATAGAGTCGAACATAATAAATCTTAGAATCACAATGCAATATAATTTAAAGTTCAATGCCACAAAATGATTTAAAAGTTTCAACAACAAGAAAGCATTTTACTAAGAGAACTGAAAACAGAAAAAGCAACACATGCAAATGCAATTCAAAACAGGAAACAGGCAAAGCCTCAAAACCCCAAAACACAAATTAGCAAAATTACGATCCAGTTACGAGCCATTATGTTACAAACACTCACACTCATTTTATTGATATCAACATTGATGACAACTGACACTCCAAAATTAGAAATAAATAATGTGAAGTGCAAGCAGTAGAGAATACAGAGACGATATTAACCAGAGATTTCAATGTCTTTCACATCAGGCTTCTTCAAGTATGGAACTCAAAAACTTTGATTTCTCCTCCGTCCAGGCCAAAAAATTCACCCAGTTTTTAACCACAATGATTCATGAACTTATATCCAAGTTTTATTGTGGTCATCTAATTAATTTATAAAAAAAATTGAAAAATCCCAGTACAGCCGCACGGCTATAATATTTCTTCAAAAAAAATTTTCTAAACACCCGCCCGGCTATACTAAGCATAGCGTTTGGGGAACCAAGTACCAAGTCTTTTAAAGAAATTGGAAAACCCGGGTGTCGCCGGGCGGCTATACTATTTCTTTGTAAGAAATTTAAAAACAGCGTATCCGAGCGGCTATATCACTTTTTCTAAAGAAATTGGAAAAGCCACGTATAGCCGCGTGGCTATACTATTTCCTTTTAAGAAATTTTAAAACTAGTATCGCCCCGCGGCTATACTATTCCCTTTTTCTTTTAAAAAACCCGAGTATAGCCGACCGGCTATATTATTACATTTTAAAAAATTGAAAAAAATTAAAGTATCGCCGCGCGGCTATACTAGTCCTTTGTTAAAAAAATGGAAAATCCTGTTAAAAAAGATTGGAAAAACCGAGAATAGCCGGGCGGCTCTACGATTTGTTTTTAAAAAATAATTTGTTTTTGAAAAATCCGCGTACGGCCTGCCGGCTATACTATTTCTTTTTGAAAAATTAGGAAAAAGCAGAAAAAAATTTGAAAAATCAGAGTACAGCTTGCCGGCTATACTATTTATTACTATTTCACCAGTATAGCCGCCGGCTATACGTGTATAAAAATTCTATTTATGGTGTACAGTGTACTGTTTAAAACTAGTATAGCCGTGCGGCTATACACGGGATTTTTTACAGTCGACCGGCCATACTAGGTTTTATTACTGATTCTA